AATGATAATTTACATGATCACATCGTAGACTTAGACATTCCTAAACTTTTCCCCGGCACCAGCAGTATGCCTTGTCCTCTTCTAGCACCAAACTTTAACTCATCAAAGATAAATAAGTTGGGATATTATTTTCTATAAAATTGTGATGCCTTTTAACTCCCCTTAATTTGTTATCCAAATCAAGGCCCCACAGATAAATTCGACTTCATAATCTGAAGCATCTGCATATATTTTGTGTTAGAGTAATTTTCGAGACTAGCAATAATTCTTAAATAAGGTGGTTTAAGGACATATGGTGGTGTATTTCACATGAAAGTAGTAGGTATTAGGGTTCTTGCCTTGCAAAAGGTTTTCTCATCAAAGGTGGACTGCATGCTACACAGTCACGAGTGCTAATTGTTCACGGCGACTGTAATTTTCAAGGTAAGCCGAGCCTTTCCAAAATCGCATTTTATTGTAGGATTGCTGCTATTGCTTCAATTAATTTATGCCAAATTTTGTCCCAAACGTTTGGGATGTAATTTGGCACAAGTACTTCGGACAAGGTGTTTCCAACTAAGTCGCCCTGACAACAAGACCAAGTTGCGAAAGCGAGGTCATCTATATACATCGAAAGAGTCTGTGACCATACCGAAATCCACACCATCTTGGTCTTCATATTTTGGATTAAACTAGGATAGTAATCTTGTCAGATAATGCACTGAATACAGTCGAATAGAGAAGACAATTGTAAGTAAATCTTGCTACTTGACCATTTTAAACGTTATGATATCACTCGTCAATTCTTTGACTTTGGGACGCCATACCACTCGGATAAGATTTTTAATATTTTCCATCAAGCCTCTATTCAGAATTAAATGAAACTTATGATATAAAGAGGAATTGATATTAAGTCAAGGCTGCGGCGTGATCTGGCCAAGATCATAATTCCAAAATACTTTCAAAAACTACAGAGCATGATCGACAGGAGATCACCTAAGATCTCTGACTTTATAACAAAACTGCCCGACAGTAAATTACGTAAGTTTGAGATTATGGGACAGCATAAGCTAAAGCCAATGCGCCCAGCTGAAGTGTTTTCTCGGGTGACAACACCTAGTGATCAGCACGACGATCGGAAGAAACTAGTGAATTTATTATCACTTCCTATTGATCCCGAAACCATCACGATCCTTAAGAAAAGATTCGACTTTTCACTTCAAAATGAAAGAAGTCTTCTAGAAGACATCCTGGTGGAGGTTATCAATATCTCCGACAAGTTTCATAAGGAGACAAAACGGGAAATGGAGATGAAACTAATTCCAAGGATCTTGATGCATCAAGAATCAACACACCGGAACAGATTTGCTTGGATACGCAAGACCATGGAAAAGAATGAACAATCAGTCCTTCAGGCGTATAAAGGGAAGTCGAAATGTATTCTGCAAGACAGGACCACATATCGTATACCAATGAAGGACCCAACTATGAAGATCACTGGAACCTTACGTGACATAGTGAAAGATATGCATAGGAACAGAAAACTTGACGTATGGACTAAAAATTAAATCATAAGAAGGGATACACCACCACTAACAGCATACGGGTTACCTAAGATACACAAACTAGAGGAACCATTTCGACTGATAGTCAACAACAAGTATGTAGCAACACAATATGCTTGAAACTCAAGAAATTAAATGACAGGTTATCAAACACAGTGAAACATTTATATGAATTTTCTCAAAGAATCAACAACATGGTACTTGAATAAACAGACTTATTGGTAAGTGTTGATGGACAATCCATGTATACAAACATTTCTGGAAAAAAGGAGCTAACGGCCCTGCTGGAAATCCTGCACCGAGAGGAAGATATTCTGGATGCAGAAAGGAACAAGAGGTAGTCATTACATGACTAATCAACTTAAAAATAAGGTCAACCTATTTCATATTCAACGAGAACGTCTATGAACAAATATTTCCAATTCCCATGGGAGTAGTAGATAGATGGGCCGTTACGGAAGGAGGAGTGATAGTACAACTGTTCGACAGAAAGTTTGATCAAGAGTTTCACTTCACTAGTCTCTAACCAATTGTAGCTTGGTGCTGTGAATGGCAAGACTTCCCGATGATGCCGGCGAAATGTCTGAGAATGTACTAAGCCCACAGTCTGGTGCTGGGAATTATGATAAGTACTATGGCAGAGGACTTCGGACAATCTGCGTCCAACTAGGTCCCTCCGACAACAAGACCAAATTGTGAAAAAGAGGTTAACCAACTTCTTTAAAT